AAAAAAAAAAAAAAAAAAAAAAAAATTAACGAAGATAAAAGTAGAAAACAGGGTTTAAAAAAAATGAAGACTTTTTTATGCTCCAAATCAGACCTGTCACTATTCAGTGATGGGAGAAACATCAAAAGTTTTGGCGTAGAAGAGAACCAATATAATGCAATTCTTCACCCTAATGCTAAATATATAGAGCCGTATAATTCCATTCCTCCGTTCAATTATAGCATGCAAATGCCTGAGCCACTTGCTTTCTAAAAACAGATGCAGGGAAACAGACCGAACTAACACAAATATATATTTAATAGATGTGCATTCGTCCTTACGAAGGTTTGGAAAGTAACCAAATAAATTGGTTTCTTTTGTCACCTCTGACAAAGGGTTATCTAGTTCCAATAGTCACTTGGCCTACAGGCCCTGAAGGAAACAAGAGTTTTAAAAGAGAAGACAACGCACATTTTGTCTCTCCTGCCTATTCTTTTCTTCCTGGATCCTTTATCTCCACTCTGCAACTTTCAAATTGTCAGCCCATTTGCCAGGGCAAAACCTCTAACTCTACCCTGTCTCTCCTCCCCTCAATGGCGTCTCAAGTTAGGCAATTTGGCATCAGAATCACTTCTCAGCGCTTCTTGGAAAACACATGAGGGCAAAGGAAACAGGCCATAATTTTCGGATGGCAGGGCCTTTCTACAAATACTCCTCTGAAATAAAGACAGCGGTCTTTCCAGTTCATAAATACCCATGGGAAAATCCACTTAAACACCCACCAGGTTTCCAGATCTTTTTGTTTGGTCTGGTGAGCAGGATAAAGGCTGTGACCAAGGGTGCTCCCAGCACCCGGAGCACAAACAAAAACTATGGGATGGCATCTCCTGTCATCATTTGCTTTCACAGCTGTCTACACATAAAGGAAAGGAGTTAGCATCACTGAAAACAAAAGACAAAAGACAAAATGTGAAACAGGCAACTGTTTTCACTTGCTTGGAGACAGCAATACTTTTTACGACTACTCTGAGTGGAAAAGTACTGCTCGACTTTCACCAGAACATCTCTCAATACCACAGATGGGGCATGCTGGGTTTTTCTTTCCCCCAGACATGGGAATATGAAGAGGAAATGGGCCCAATTCCCCCAAACTAAGTCAACATACAGATAGGTGTTTCTAGGTACGAGCACCAAGCAAACTGCTTGCTAAGGTCTCCAGTCTGATTTGACGAAATCAATGGTGTTAAGCTTGTAGTTAAATGGAGAAAGCAAAGGAATTTGCTGTCTGCTGACTTTACAGTCAGAGAGAGACCAGATGGAAACCGTAAACTATACCTCTCCACCTGCCCTTTTATAACAGAAGGAAGAATGAGGAGGCTCGCTTACCTTAAAGTTGTGTGTCTTCTCATAGTTGAAGTGGTTGTCGTTGTGTGTGAGGGCTGCCCTTCGAACCAGGGAGGAGATCTGTGAACAGGCAAAGAGTTTGAGAGGGGCCCAGAGAAAGCCACCTTTGACTCCCACCTTCACCCCCAGGGCTACGGCCAGCAGCTCTTGGCGTTTCCTGCCCTGCTTAGACTTCCGAACCACAGCACACTTTTTCTCATTTTCCAGCCGCAGTTCCTGGGAGAACATCGTGCCTGGATCCCAGAGCTTTCTAGTTTCCCCTGCAGAGCCTGGGGAGCTCCGTGCCGTCAGGTTTCTCGAACCGCAGCTAATGTTAGGCAGCAGATTTGAGGCAGCTGCGTCCTGTCTGCCGAGGCCTCCGGCATGTGACCTGGAAGGCCCGGCTTGAGTGATGGAGGGGTGGAGGGGGCTCCGCTCCTGAATAAGGACGGGCCTGTTTTGTGCTGTTTCCTAAGGCCAACGTGTGCCTGGAACAATAGCACACATTCATGTGCACAGCAACCCCCAGAAGCGGTCAGCCACTGAGGATTCAGGGAGGCAGGGGCAGGCGGCTTTATTTCTCCTGCCACAGCACATTGCAAAGGAGAAACCTCTCCTCCTCATCAGCACGTTTCACGCTCACATGCGCACACACACCCCACAAGTAGCTCTGATGTTCAAAGTCTGAGGCTGCATCCAATTATTCTGGGGCTCGAAACCTCATCCTGGGCTGAACTCCAGCAGATTAAACCTTTAAACCCTGATGATCATTTAATCTTATAGGGGTAAAGCCTATGTCTCTTGTTTTAAATCTGCCTCAGCACTTGAAAGCTTAATTTTTATTCTTATGCATGCATTAAATTAAAACAGTCTGATCACCAAATGGAGTATCAAAGAGCAAAGCTTTCAGCTCTGAGTTCTACATTCAAAGTTGCCAAATAAGAGGCAGGATGTCTTGTTTCAGGAGACCCCTCCGGTCTCTCTTCTCCCCTTCCTGCACAAACTCACACAGACAAGACAACATTCCTTACCTAAAACCAAAACATCCCAGTTGCTTTTCTTTCAAATAAAACATCTCGATGTTCATTCTGTAGTGGCCATGCCTATAAAAATGCCCTCCTTGCTCTTAAAAGCATCATCTCTTTGATGGTCTCATGGTCCCAGGTCTTCCCATTAATAGAAGTAAGGAAATCTTGATATCTTGGGAGTACTCCTGATCCACTGGTGAAATTTAATGTAGCTAATGCCAGACAATAAAATCACTGCGTTAGGAACTCGAAAGCAAGAACTAGATGGCTGGATCTTTATGTAAATGGATGGTCTGTGAATTTCATCCTGTCCTCTACTGAGACAGGGCCCCATGCTCCAGCGCCTCTAAGCAGCCTTGTGGAGAGTAACCAGAGATCAATCCTTCCCTCGCGTAATTCTTTATCCCTGGCAATCACCATCACTTCAACTTGGTTCAAAAGTCCATCCTCCCATTCTATCCTCTTCCTACCTTCAAAAATAACTGCCAATTTTTATATTGTGCTATTGAGTACAATAACTTCCGTGGTGCCAGATGATGTTCAGAATGTGTTAAATGCACTTATTTAATCTTCAGCAAGTGGGTATGAGCAAGATTTTTATTCCCATTTTTTTCGGATGAAGAGACTGAGGCACCGAGAGGTAAAGTGATTTGTCCAAGGACATGCAACTGGTTTAAGTGGCAGAGCCAGGATCAGAACGCATGGCATCTGTGCCCATGCCCTGAACTGTACACCCTGCCGCCTCAGTACACTGATGTACTGCCACATCCTGCCATCCGGTCCTGCCAGGTGCTTTATCTGAAATATCGGTTGAGTCTGCCCTCTCCTTACCATTCCTGCCCCCCAATAACTCAGGCTTTTGTTATCTTTCCAGGCCACCTTACCCCCAGCTGCACAACAATCTTCCTAAGCCGGTCACCACTCCCCATCTGCTCAGGAAATGCCAATGCTTCTCCAGGGCTTAGCTGTGTCCTGGCATCATGGGTACTTCACAGGCTGGTCCCAACGTGTATCCAGTTCATTTTATTTCCCTACGCTCCCCTCCATAAATCCTACAAAATCTTTCCTCTGACATGCTCAATTTCTCACCCAGGTAGCTTGCTCTATTTTTTAGAATAGTCCAGCATTATTTCAACATGTCTACATTTTCACCAACGTTCCCATTCTAACTCAAATGCCACCCTTTTCAAAAAGACTTCTCCAAACTCACCATTGGAGGCAAATTCTCTCCTCTGAAATCTCATAGCATTTTATCTCCATTTTCTGATTGCATTTCTCACTTTCTCTCTTGTATGAGAGTGATTTAGAACAATACTTATTCCCCAGTCACACTGAGAACTCATTGTGATGTGCTCTATGTTTAAGTTGCCTTTGTTTCCCCCTACAGGAGGGTGTAATAAGATTCCTTGCCACAGTAGGAACTAAATATAAGTTGCTAGGAAGCACCCGTACATGTAGGGAGCCAGAGTTGTGCAGGAAGGTGTGCAAAGGTGCCTACATGGCGTGGGGTCTCCTGCCCCATCCTGTGATCGCCCATCCCCTGCCTCGGCTTCCAATGACCAGGTTTACTCCAGGTGTCTGCTGTCTTGATGGGCTCCACCAGACTCCTTAGCCCCCCTTCCCATCATCTAATCCTGATAATGACTACCACTGATGGGGTTAAGGGAAGGCTTGACATATCTTTGAAAAGCTTCCAATCTTTTCAGGCATTATCCTAAAGGTAAAAGGATGAAGAGGAGGAAAGAGGGTCCTTTGCCAAACCTTCACTGCTAGCTAATCAAGAGAGACCTTCTGATGGCAAGCCATTTTGAGTAAGAACAAATTCTTTGATCTGGCCTAGATGAATTATATGAATATACCGTTTTAGAATCTGATAAAAATAACTCTTTAAATGGAATGTGTGCGAAAGGGGTCTCCTTCTCCTTTTGGTCTGTGAGTGGTTGAATCCAAGGAGATTTAATATTTTCTCTTGTGTCTGTGCCTTTACTTATAACAAGTAATTTTTATTTCTATTTGTGACAGTGATTTCTTTGTCAGATATTTATTCAATAGAATCAACCCAAACACGAGACACATTCAGACATGCGAAGGAACCACACACTGTTCCCTTAAGATGCTTCTTCACAGGGGACTGTAAGTGTTAGCCTTTGAGCGAGCATTATTGTGCGTAATGTAGATGACCTCAGCTCACCCTCCTATTAAAGGAAAAATGATTACAAAAATCTCTTGGTAAAAACTTCCCTCTTAAATAACCCCATCACATAGAGCTCTTCTTTATCTAAGCTCCCCAAGGACGGCTCCTTGGTTTCTTTTATATCCTCCACACTGTCTAATACAGTGTTCTCTATACACAGTGGACACTTAATACTTTTGCTGACCATCTTCTTCTAACAAAAATTTCTATCTGACCTATTTTTATCTATACATTCATTAGATGAAGCACATTTCCCTACATACTCTGTTTACACCAGGGATTCTCACTGGAACTACTGACATTTAGAGCTGGAGAATCCTTTGTTGTGGGGGTTGCCCTGTGCGGTGTAGGACATTCTTTGCCTCTATTCACCAGATGCCAGTAGAACTCCCAATTATGATAATCACAACTGTTTGCAGACATTGCCAGCTATGCCTCGGAAGGCAAAATTGCCCCCCGTTGAGAATATCTGAGTTAAATGGATAACACAAATATTTATAGCATGCTTACTGCATACCGAGTATTATACTTAGCACTTTGCATATTTTGGCTCATATAAGATTTAAAACGTTTTCAGGTGGGTACTGTTACAACGACCCCCGTTTTACAGATGAGGACATGGGAACTGAGGGTTTCAGTGGTAGAATACAGGCACGACTAACTAGGTCTATACTCTCCCCACCCCACAACAACAAGTTTTTTTATTTTCTTATTGTGGTAAAATATACATAACATAAAAGCTAAAATTTTAACCATCTTAAAATGTATAATCTTCCAGCATTCAGTGTATTCACAATGTTCTGTGACCATCACCATTATCTATCTAGTTTCATCACCCCAAAATAAAACTCTGTACCCACCAGCACTCACTCCCTATTCTCTTCTCCCCTCAGCCCCTGGCAATCACCAATCTGCTTTCTGTCTCTGTGAATTTACCTTTTCTGGGTATTTCATATAAAGGGAATCATACAACATATGGCTTTTTGTGTCTGGCTTATTTCACTTAGCATAATTTCTCAAGGCTCATGTATGTTGCAGCAGGTATCAGTACTTCATTTCTTTTCCCTGCTGAACAATAATCCATTGCATGGATATAACACATGTCTTTTATCCATTTAGCAGGTGATGGATATTTAGACTGTTTTCACCTTTTGGCTACTGTGGATAGGGCTACTAAAACATTCTTGTACAAGTTTTGTTTGAACACTTGTTTTCAATTCTTTTGGGTATACACTAAATCTATGCTTTTTACCACCCTCTAAACTTCCTCCCATCCCAATAATATTCCCATTAAAAAATATTCAGTGGTTGAATGCCAAAAGCGCTCTCTTCCCCATTATTAGCCTGTTAACAACTAGCAGGGCTGTACGTTTCCTGGACTAGTTTTTAAAGAGGAGACTTTTGTTCTCCCTGGGCCCTCTGTGAAAGCAGGCGCTACTTAAGATACTTTTGGAAGGAGGTGGGACTATAAATAAATGGTGAAATAAGCTCACCACTTCCCTTTTTCTTTTTTTATAAATAAGGGCGGGGATTCTATTTTCTGAGGCCTCTTCTTTCTCTCTGTGATTAGGATGCCGGACACCAGGAATCAGGTATAACGAGAAAGCAATGAAAGGTTGTCGGAAGAAGGCAAGAGGCAAGGATGGGTCAAGGGGCAGGAAAACCTGAGAAGACACAGCCCTGTGGGAGCCAGTGTACGTGTACAGGGCCCGGGAAAAAGGGGTGGTAGGAGAAGCTCACCTGCACTGATTTTAAAAACTTCACATCCTAAGCCTAGAGGAAATCTCAAAAGTTCATCCAATCAAGGCCTCCTTCTCCATCTGGCTTCAGGCAGGACTACCTCTCAGCCTCCAGTTACC